ATGAGCTCTAGTAAAAGCGAACATCGAGTCCAGTGCTCCATTCGGTGTGGACTCATCAGAATCATTGAGTCAGAACAGGAGGTCGACATTTCGAACGAGAGTAATGTGAATATGAACAAAATTCATATCCCGCAAAACCTCACAGCTGAAATATATATCTATACGAAAACACACAGTGTAAATACGTATACACATAATCCTCGGTTTCTAGGAGAGACCTGGGTGCACACATATTTTCTTACGTGTTTCAAAACCATGGATCATTTTCACAACACTCTACAAGGAGTGCAAAACCCACGTATTCACTTGAGAAACATTTCAATTGGTGTATAAAATAAACAACCAGCTGTCAGCGACAGTTGGTCAGTATGGCATATGTAAAGGGTCTTACAAGCCGTCTAATCTTGTCGGTGAAATTCCACTACATGTGCTGTTGAACAGCTGAGGCGACATCTGAAACAATCATGTCACGAGTGGAACATCAGTGGCCCAGGAGCTCACTAAACCCAAAGTATCGTTGTATGCCGGGTGAATTTATGTACAAAGGAAACCTCTGGCCCTCATGGACATCTGAGAAGAACATCAAGAGTGTTGAGGACCAATTCGTGTTCCTCCCGACAGATATCATTCTGAGTGGCTATCCAAAGTCCGGAATCACATTCCTATCCGAAATAACTTGCCTGTTGCATTTCAGTCACGGGAAACTGGAGTATCTACAATCTGCTATTGAGAAAGTTGAGAAATCCCAGGTGTACTTCAGGGTACCCTTTATTGAGGAGGAGTGGACTGGTCTCTTTCCGACGATGACCGATAAAGTCCAGGCGATGGAATATCTGGATTGTTTGCGACAACAGCAATGTGGGAATCAGCCGCGGTTGATTAAGACACACTTGCCATTTGACAGCATTGAATGTGCGCTGAATCGGCTGGAGCGGAACCTGAGGCCACGCATTCTGTACGTCTACCGAAATCCGAAAGATGTGGCCGTTTCAATGTATAATTTCTATTGTGGTCTCCAAAACTACGGACCCTTTGAAGGAGATTGGGACGAATTTTTCGAAATGTGGATTGATGGATGGATAGGTGGTGGTGACTGGCGCAAAGTTGTTCCACCGTGGTTGAAACAGGCTGAAATTTCCGAACCCACTCAAATGTTAGCCATCAGCTATGAACAGTTAGTGAACGACACTGAGGCCTGTGTGAACAACATTCACCACTTTCTTCTCCCAGAAACTGATTTGGAACCCACAGTGCGACAAGTCATCTTGGAACGTACCTCCTTCGATAAAATGCGTGAGAACAAAATGACGAATTACAAGGATGTAGAAGAGTTCATTCCTTCCTTCCAATTCATGCGTCGTGGATGTGTCGGCGACTGGAAGAACTGGTTTAGTCCCGAACAAAACTCTAGATTCATGGCAGCATACAAAGACACGTTGGAAGATCTGGAACAGTTCGCACACTCGCATGCTATACGTTTTGAATGAAATACGGTTCAAAATTGTTCAGTGCAATTACTTTCACGCGCGTGTATTTCGACACGCAATATTAGTGTTTTTTGGCAAATCGTGGCGTTCTGAATAGCTTTTTCCACAGTGTTTCGGGATTCGTTGAAAGCACTTGCTTGGCTCTGTTTCCATTTGTCCCACACGACTAATGCTGCGCTTACTATCTAGCAATGTATGAGGTTTCTCGGATTCATCCCATTTCATTTCGTGTGTAAACTTCAAAATCCTGATACACTCTATCACCAGTGCACTGAAGCAGCGAACTGAATCTCGACCCTAGTGAG